ATAGATACCTTGTATATATGTGGAGAGAGTACTGTGTTTATCTGTGAGTGTCGGTGATGTGTATGAAATTACCAAAAAAATTCCTTTAGCTAATAAAAGTATATTGGATTTCTAAATACAAAACATCATAAACAAAGTTATCAAGTAAACAGCAAACAGAAAAAATTATTTATAATCAATGTGAAATAAGGGATAAATACAATGCCAAAAGGAAAATGGTCAAAGAATATTACCGGTGTGGCTCAGTGGTTGAGCATCGACCTATACACCAAGAGGTCACTGGTTTGATTCCCAATCAGTGCATGTGCCCAGCTTGTGGGCTCTATCCCCTGGGGGAGGGGGAAAAGGGGGAGAAGAGAGGAGGGGATGTGGGAGGGCATGTGGGAGGCAGATGATCAGTGTTTCTCATCAATGTTTCTCTCTCTCTCTCTTCCTCTCCCTTCCTCTGTCTCTAAAATCAATAAAAACATATTAAAAAAAGAAATACAAATGTTTATATATATGAAATACAAATGTGTGTATACACACACAGGGGTGGGCAAAAGTAGGTTTACAGTTGTGAGTTGTCTTATTTATTATTGTATTATTTTTTTGTATTTATCTTTTTCTATATAAACTGTAATCCTACTTATGCCCATTCCTGTACATGGTTTAGAAAACCTCTACAGCAATGTCTTACAACAGTAAGATAATTTTTGCCTAGGAAATTGGCCAAGATTAATTTATAAATTATATTGTTCTTTGCTGGCATGGATGGTTTCCAATCAGCACTCGAATATACCAAAGATAGAAGTATACATTGCTGTAACCTTTCTTGAATGCAATGATTTAGGATGTTTTGAAAGGCTTCAGAGTTTGACTCATTGACCTAGTTCTTTCACTTCTAGGAATCTATTCCAAAGTAGAACTGTGAGGATTTACAAGCAAAGACTTTCATGACCACAGGATTTATAAAAGGAAATTTAAAGCAACGTCAGTGTGCTGTTTTGGAGGAGTAAACTATTAGGCAGCCCTAGATATAATTTTTAAAAACAATTTTTGATGACATGGAAAAAATGACAAAATATGCTAAGTAGATAAAACAAGATACCAAATTCAAATACTACATTAAAACATGTTAAAAACATATCCCTGTGTATATATACCCATATGCACATACATAAAAATATATTAATGCAGTAGTACCAAATTTTTATATTTTACAACAAAATATTCCTCAGTGTGGGATTTCAAATGCTTTTGTTTTCTTCTTTAGATCTTTCTATATTTCTACATTTTCTGAAGTACACATTACTCTGCTAATCACAAAGACCTTAAGGCTAAAGATCAATCTGAGGATAATGGGACCTCTCTAAGCTCTAGGTAAGCAGGGCTGTGAACTGCTGCATCTAAGTCAGCCGTGGGCAAACTACGGCCTGCGGGCCGGATCGGATCCGGCCCGTTTGAAATGAATAAAACTAAAAAAAAAAAAGACCGTACCCTTTTATGTAATGATGTCTACTTTGAATTTATATTAGTTCACACAAACACTCCATCCATGCTTTTGTTCCGGCCGTCCGGTCCAGTTTAAGAACCCATTGTGGCCTTCGAGTCAAAGTTTGCCCACCCCTGATCTAAGTGGATGCCACTCACATTACAGACATCTAATAAATGGACCGGAGAAGGTTGGCCTTCCAGCTGTGCAACAGGGCAGAGACTCTTGTACAACAAGGCCCTCACAGCTGTAAACATATTTAGATCATCTCTCATGCACACAATTACCAACACACGTGTAGGGTAACTGTGCCCTGCCTTCAGTTCCTTGGGCATTTTGCCTCTCTCCCTAGCTTACTTCTCTGAGAGGCCTGACTCCTACTTCATCTAGAGACTTGGTCCATTCTTTAAAGTCCTTCTTTCCTAGGATACTTGATTTTAATCAGGCTTCCTTTGTCAACCATCCTACCTGGAAAGACCTAGGCCAAAAGGGCATAGGAACCTTAGTTTTCTCTCAGATGGAGTGGCATCTAATGACAAATTGTAAAAAACCGAGGCTGACAATATCTCAGTTATTAAAACACCTATATTAATGCCAACATTTCAGTATTACATGAAGTAAACACCAAAATACATAGACACTTTGATCTGGTATCATAATAACCTTGAGCCAAAGATTTGTGTAGTCAAATCTGATGCAAGAGCCTTCCAGGTTGAGGGAAGGTTATGAGCCTTTCAGAAAAAAAAGAGGACAGAAAAATCAGTGAAGGAAAGGATGTATGTAGAGGAGCCTTCAGCCTGGGGAAGAAATCCACTTCATCAACTTATCAGATAAGAGCGAAACTCTGTGAAGGGGCTGACAAAAATCACTGAAGATCTGGAGGAGCAGAAGGCAGGTGCCTTCCGGAGCTACTGCGGTGAACAGCACCCCAGCGTAGCCCTGACCCAGATATAAAGGAGCTGCCACTGCTGCCGCCACCACTGCAGCCAGTTCTCTCCCAATGTCCACAGGCCACAAAGACGCTGGGATGCCAAGGGACTGAGCTCAGCAGAAAGGACAGGAAGAAAACCATCTCTGCCTCATTTCCAGCTAATTAGTTGTGATTCTGTTTCTGTTTCTATCATTGTTTCTATGGAAAAGTTCATTTAAATTCTAAATAACTAGTTTACAAACCAAGTTTTCAAAAATATTCCATCTGTAATGTAAAGTCAGTGTGTCCTTAAAAACACACACATCATCTCCCTAAAGAAAAGCTAAATGAAACAACTCCGTAGGGTATGTTTTTAATTTCATTTCTCTTTCCTTCATATATCTTCATATCTGTAGCTACCTCTATCATGAATGCAAGGCAGTGCAGACAAAATTTTAAATTTCATTTACAGGAGCTAAAATAAAGCTAGAAAATAAGCCTTTGTAATAATATTACCAAAAAATGATTGATCACAAAAGCTTGCTCCTTGCACCAATGGGTTGGGTTGAACCAGGTTTGTTGTTGTATATTTTTGACTTCTTGGTAAGAAATTCTTCTTTGGCGCTGATAGAGGAGGAAATGCATAGCTCAGGCATTATTTTCAATTACTGTGTATGTAGGCTTAGAGGACATAAATCAATCCTGTGATGATAATAACATTTTCGAAGGAGTACAGAAAAATGAATTTCCATGATATGCAACGGAAGCAGCAGGTATGCAAAGTGATATATGTTTTCTAGAAATATGTTTCATTCTTTCTTTCGTTTCATGCTTTTTCTTTGTACCTTAAGCAGCTCTGGCAAGACCAGAGCAACTGACAATTCACAAAAGCTTACATAAAGTATTTTATTTTTATTTATCTTTTTATTGATTTCAGAGAGAGGAAGGGAGAGGAAGGGAGAGGAAGGGAAAGACAGAAACATCAATGATGAGAGAGAATCATTGTTCGGCTAACCCCTACTGGGGATCGAGCCAGCAACCCAGGCATGTGCCTGACCTGGGATCAAACCGTGACCTCCTGGTTCATAGGCTGACGCTCAATCACTGAGCCACACCGGCTGGCCTAAACAAAGTATTTTACACGCTCTCTTACAACCATTTGAAAGTTTACTTTGGGAACCGCAGCTCAAATGCACCACAAACCCCTACTTCCCCCACTCCTCCTCCCCTGCCTTCCTGTTGCCCTTTTCTTCATGTTTCCAGCTCAACAACTAAGGTAAGAGGAAACTAAGTCCTTTAGCTACTGAGTTATGGTGCAATTAAAGGGGAAAACTACCAGGGAGAGACTGGCTACCAATGTTTTGCTTCAGTCACCATCTCTTATCCCATCTAATAAAGTGGGAATATGCTAATTGACCTTCACACCATTGCAAAGATGGTAGCACGCAGTCCCCTCAGCTTCCCCCCAGGGCCGGCCCAAGGCACAGGCAAGTCTTGGATGGCGGCTGCCCAGGTGCCCAGAGCCAGCCTGAGGCTCAGGTAACCAAGGCCGCCCAAGGCTCCAGTAACCAGGGCCGGCAGTGGCAGCAGCAGAGGTGTGATGGGGTGTCACCTTCCCCTGGTCACTGGGTCGCCTCCCGCCCCTGAGGGCTCCCGGACTGTGAGAGGGGGCAGGCCGGGCTGAGGGAACTCCCTCCAGTGCTCATGCACTGGGCCTCTAGTCTTGTCATAAAGATGAAAACTTACACCTCCATATGGTGAGCAAGCCTAATGCTAAGACAAATCCTGTGTGTGCCACGCACTGTTATTCCTGTGTCCTGAGTAAAATATTGGCACACTAGAAGTTATACTTAATCTCTTAGTGTATTTAGTGATAGTGGAGTTTGCTAAACGTTACAACAAGGACAGATGGAGAAGGAAAATGAGAGGAGACAGGTGTGGAATCTCCCAGCAGCACAGGCTGTAGTAAAGGCAAGTCATGATTTGAATTCCTGTTCCTTAATGCGATTCTGAAAGTTGGCTTATTTCTCCTATTTTTGAACGTCTAATCGTATTTGCTGGTGAAAATTCATCCCAGGTGTAGTTCAATTTCTCGGATTAAATTCCTGGGCATATGTTGACCATATCTGATGTGTTATAATGCCCTTGGTACCCGTTGGAAGCGAATTTCCCGATTCTTTTACTTTTAAAATGAAGTTTAGCTCTTGCGCGCACGGGAAGGATTGCTCTCGGGAAGTCCCTGTCAAGACCTGGATGGCAGTATCGCTGCTGCCCGCGCCTCGGACCCGGCAGGGCTGGGGAGACACCCGCCCACACCCACACCTCCCGCCACGCTAGGTGCGCCCGCCGCCAGGATCGGGGGGCCGGGGTGGGGCCCCGAAACCAGCGCAGGGGACGGACTCGCCCCGAGTTGAAAAAGAAGTGTTTAGAGGAGGCTTCGGGGCGGTGGGCACTGAGAGGGCACCCCACGGAGCCGGGCCGCGAAGGGCCTGCGGACCCGCCGCACCAGGCCTCGCACCCGGCCCGCGCCGGCCCAACCGCTCTTCCGGGCCACGCGCCCGCCGGCCACGCCCTCCGCCGGGGCGCTCGGAACCGGCCCGCCGCCCGCCCGCTCACCTGCCCGCGCTCCTCCTGCGGCCGCCGCCCGCTCCGCCGCGGGCTCGCCCCGGGCTCCCCTTCGGTCCCCGCCGCAGCCTGCTCGGCCAGCGCGTCCCCGTCCTCGCCGCGCGCCCCGCCGTCACCGCTGCAGTCGCTGCCACCGCCGCCTCTGAGGAGCTGCCGGGCCGAGCACATCCCGCCGCCGGGACGGCCGCCCGAGGGCCAGGCAGCGAAGCGCGAGGCGGCGCCACCACCGGAGGGGATCCGCCGGCACCCAAAGCGCTCGCTGCTGACAGCGGTCTCCCCCCTGCGGCCGCCAGCCCGAGCGGGGAGCAGCAACTCCGCCCCGCCCCTGCTTCACCGTTCGCCCCGCCCCTGCTTCACCGTCCGCCCCGCCCCTGCTTCACCGTTCGCCCCGCCCCTGCTTCACCGTCCGCCCCGCCCCTGCTTCACCGTTCGCCCCGCCCCTGCTTCACCGTTCGCCCCGCCCCTGCTTCACCGTTCGCCCCGCCCCTGCTTCACTGTTCTTATCACCCCGCCCCGCCCCTGCTTCACCGCCAGCCCCGCCCCTGCTTCACCCTCCGCCCCTGCCTCACCGTTCGCCCCGCCCCTGCTTCACTGTTCTTATCTCCCCGCCCCGCCCTGCTTCACCGCCAGCCCCACCCCTGCTTCATCGCCCCGCCCCTGCCTCACCGTTCGCCCCGCCCCTACTTCACCGCCCGCCCCGCCCCGCCCCCGGCCGCCAGGCGGAGCCCCTGGGGTGGGGCCATGCGGGGGCGGGGTCGGCGGAGCTAGTGGAGAGCTGAGCGAGGGTGCGTGTTTTCGCGCGTTTGTGAGAGCGACTGTCTACGTTAGCAGACTGTGTGTGTGTGTGTGTGTGTGTAAGAGGCTGCATGTACATAAAGTGTGAGATTGTGTAAGAGACGGTGTGTGTGTGTGAGAGAGCGCGAGAGTGAGTTACAATCCAGTGAGGTCCCCTGTTCTTGTCTGACACCTGGACTGGGGGGCGGGGGTCTGAGAGGGGATGTGCTGCTGGCTGCCAGGCGGAGTAGCGGTCCATCCTTTCCGAGTAATACTTTCCTGTGTTGTTCCTTTTGTCTCCTCCCTAGTACCCTTTTGAAGTCTGTGTCTTTGTTTCTCTTTTGAGTGCTTCCCTGGTGTGTGTTGGTGGTTGGAGCCTTGGGAGCATTTGGTGGTGTAGCTGTCTGCCTTTGTGTATATTTCTACAAAAGGGTAAGAATAGGCATCCCTCAGTGGATGGTAAGGGGGCCGCAACTAACTTATAACTCCTTTTCGTACTACCTGTGATATTGTGGTTTATAGTAAGTATACATTTGCTCTTCATCCCCGTTTCTGGCACAGAACCCTTCAAACCTTGGAATTTCCTAAGTGAGGAGAGTGATAAAGACGCTTTTTGTTACATTAATGAGGTGACTTTTGAAAAGCCCCTAGGCCAGTGGTTCTCAGCCTTGGCTGCACATTCGAATCACCTGGGAATCTTTTTAAAATCCTGATTTCTGGGCCTCATCCTCCAGAAATTGTTTCTTTGTTACTGATGTTGTTGCCCCACCCCATAACAAAGAAACAATTTCCGGAGGATGAGGCCCAGAAATCAGGATTTTAAAAAGATTCCCAGGTGATTCAAATGTGCAGCCAAGGTTGAGAACCACTGCCTTAGGCACTATAAGGATGGAAGAACCAACCCTGCGATTGGAAGGTTGGAACTTTTAGTCCCACCTCCTGACCTCTGGGGAGTGGGAGAGAGAGAGGAGCTGGCAGTTGAATCAATCACTTAGAGGCAATGATTCAATCATGTCTGTGTAAGGAAGCCTCCATTGAAAGCCACAAGGACTGGGGTTTGGAGAACTCTTGGGTTGGTGAACACACGGAGTTGTGGGGGGAGAGGCACTCCCAGAGAGACCCAAGGAGCTGTGCCCCGCTCCACGTCCCTCACCCTCACCTCTTCATCTGGCTGTTCATCTGAGTTGTTTATCATAGCCTTCATAATAAACTGGTAAAAGTAAGTAAATGTTTCCCTGAGTTTATTACATTGTGAGAACAGACCAAGGAGAGGGCACTCTTTGCTTTGGTTGCTGTGTCCAGACCCTGACCCCCTCTGGGAGTTTGCCTCAGAACGCTGACCATTTTCCGGTCCCAGGAATGGGCTGAGCTGTTTGTAACATCACAGAAGATTAGCCACCTTGTTATGGTACTTGGAGGTCCAGAAGGCTGGACTGCAGACCCTCCCCTGCCCTTCCCTTGCCATATACAATCAGCCAATTGGCTCAGGGGTCAGAGCAGGCATGATTGGAATAAACGTTCATATATGATTCAACCCTGCCTCTGCGTAATTTGGCTCAAGGAGTGACAGGCAACCTCGGACCTGTTGTGTACAGTATCAAGGGCTCCTTTTTCCCCCCACATCTTCACCAACACTTGTTGTTTGTGGATTTATTGATGACAGCCATTCTGACAGGTGTGAGGTGCTAGCTCATTGTGGTTTTAATTTGCATTTCTCAGATGATTAGTGACATTGAGCATCTTTTCGTTTGTCTATTGGCCATCTGTATGTCCTCTTGGGAGAAGTGTGTATTCAGGTCCTCTGCCTATTTTTTTCTTATTGGAGATTGTGTGTGTGTGTGTGTGTGTGTGTGTGTTAAGATGTGTGAGTTCTTTATAAATATTACCCCTTATAGGATGTATCATTAGGAAATATCATCTTCCATTTAGTAGACTGTCTTTTTCATTATGTTTCCTTTGTTGTGCAAAAACTTTTAAGTTTGATGTAGCAAAAACTTTTAAGGTTGCTCTAGTCCCACTTGTTTATTTTTCTTTTGTTTTTTTTAAGGCACATTTGAAGTTCTCCCTCTTTTGGCTTGTGTGTGATAACTTGGTAATCAAGAAGTTGTGCACTCTTCAATCACACTAGAGAGTGAACAGAAACTCCTTGTGTACATGAGAACTCTGAAGGCACAGAATATATATGAGAGAGCAGGTAGAAGGAGTATATAGAGCTTAGCTTTCTTCAACTGAGCGGACAGGTCTTACAGAAGATCTTTAGTCTACACTGTATGGCCTTTTGGCAATTCAGGCTTCTTCCTGATAGTTTGAGAAGTGTTATTTATTCAGTTATTTAGCAGGTACGTAATTATTGAACAGCAGTAGGCATCAGACCTAGATCTAAGTCCCTAGTCTCATGAAGCTTCCATTTCATTCTCTATTGAATTCTATTTTGCTTCTCCTGGCAAAAACCAAAAACTTTCACCCAAGGGTGACCGGAATCCTTTGATCCCATCCTAGGACAGATGTCAGAGCCTTTTCTTTTTCTTAATTTTATCTGCCTTTTATTTCGTGAATAAGTTTCTCTTTGAACTGTTATTCTTTTGTTCACAGAACTTTGGTCTTTCCTGAAGATTTAGGGAATCACCTCTTTTAAAAAAATCTAACAGCATCACTCTGCACAAAAACAAAACAAAACATTACACTGGGGGCTTGACTTACGAGTTTAATTCGTTCCGAGACCGAGCTCGTTAAGGAACTCATTAAGGAGCTCATTAACTCAAATTACTCTATCAACTCAATGCAAAAAATCGGCTGAGAGACAGCTGGTATCTCAAAAAACCCGTTAGTCAGGACACTGGTAAGTCAAGGCCCCACTTTATTTAATTACACGTCAGGTAACACAATTTCAAGCACACCTTACGGGAGGAGAGGGCTGTTTTCACTCTGCTGCACAATTTGAATAACATACACAGAAAGCTATTACTGCCAGTTTCCTATGGGAAATATAGGATTGTTATTACCGAGGCAACTATAACACATTGGTATCAAACTGTCTGTAGTTTGGTTGTAATTTTATTAGTATAGTTGCCTTGTGTTTTCTCAGGAATAATAAGTGGCAAGAAACAAATGAAAATATAAGGAGTGGTCTTTGTAACGCAAATGGCTCATTTTCAGTAGCTGTGAGAACAAAGACTTTTATCCTTCAATTTTACACCTTTAATATCTTATTTTAAATCTTCAACCATGTTTATTTGTACACTAGGGGCTCAGTGCACGAATTCGTGCACCTTGAACTGTGGGCCTCGAGGCTATGGTGGGCACAGGGGCAGGTCTCGGCCCATCCTCTGCACCTCCACCTGGCCCCTCCCACTGAAGCCCCCGGTCCCCTGTCTGCCGGCAGCCCCACTCCCACTGCCACTGCTCCATGCGCTGATAGCACTGGCCCCACTGGCACCCGCTGACTGCGTGGAGCGATTGGGGCCGGCGCCAGCCACAGGTGTGAGCTGGGCCAGTATGGTCAGCAGGTGTGAGCAGCAGCTGCTGCCCTGATTGCCCCTCAGGAGCAGGGGGAGGTGGAGAAGCCCTCAGAGGCGATTGGGGCTGGCAGCAGCTGCTCACACCTGCTGACAGCACTGAGCAATTGGGACCAGCACCTAGCACCAGCAGTGGGTGCGAGCAGCTGCTCCAGCACCAGCAGTGGGTGCGAGAAGTGGCTGCCGGCCCCTGATCGCCCCTCAGGAGCAGAGGGAGGTGCCACCCTGAGGGGTGATTGGGCCGGTGCCAGGCACTGGCAGCGGATGAGAGTGGGGCTGGCGCCAGCAGCAGGTGCAAGCGCCAGGTGGAACCTCAGCATACGGGAACAAAGAATTTTCAGTAACCACCAGAGGCTCACCCTGATGACAGCGACTGGTGCCCTGCCTTGGTCTGGCACCCCTGCTTACCTGCTCCACCATGGCCGACGACCACCATGTTCCGGGCTCTGCGGCCTGCTGCCGTTGCCTGCCATCTTCCGCATGCGTCCCCTGGTGGTCAGTGCATATCATAGAGACTGGTTGTTCATTTGTTCTGCCGTTTGGTCTATTTGCATATTAGCCTTTTATTATATAGGATCTTTCCAGAGGAAAAAAAATGAACAAATCAGAGTGATCTGTACTTATTTAGTAATATAATTTTAGAAAAACAAATGCAGTTATTTGTGTAAACTGTGTCAAACTTCATTTTTCAGTTTGCTTTTTGACATACTATGATGTTATTTTATTATATGATTCTTGTGCTTTAATTTTTGCTTCTTATGGTGAATTAGAAATTTTTAGGGATGAAAGAGGCAGGTTTAGGGAATTTTTAAAATTAAGGGGGTCCATGAAAAAAAACAGGGCTACAAAGTTGCAAAAGGTTAAATTTCCATAAGACAGGGAGCAGGGAGCCAGCAGAAGTTACATTTCCATAAAACAAGGGAAAGACAGAAGTTACAGTTCCATAAGATAAGGGAACTGGGAATAGCCAAAGGTCTATATTTACAAAATAAAGAAGGAGGGCCTCACATGTCCCATGTGAGATTTGACCTTTGAG